GAAAATCTCTCTCACGTGTCCACATGACACAACCTTTATTTACAAGTTTAAAGAGGCCATCAACCTAACTAAAATGGGACTATTAAGCCTTCGGCCGCCCCTCTACATTCTGTACAAGGCAAGAACATGCCAAAAGACACGGACATATATAAGCATTACATCAAACACCTTGTTTCGAAGTTTGTCCGTGACAGCTCGGTATATCGTTCCGTACCGTACCGAGCGAACGTCGAAACACCGGTACGATACGATATTTCGAACCTTGCTGTGAACATTATATATTGATCTATATAAGCAGCTCAATAACATATCCAAACCAACATGAAAACCACTAGGGAGTTGTCTAAAAAGATACTTCGACATTTCTGCACCACCGGGCAAATATTTCTACCTGATATTGCTGACACAGTCGGGTGACCCTGCCTCAATAATTGGGCCAAGCATCGAGTCACAATAATGTCACTAACACGTAATGCAGAAAATAAATGTTCATGGCCTTATCAGGGACAGAATAATTGAGAGAAAATAACTGATGAAGATTTTTCTATTACTCGAAAGAAAATAATGTTTGAACTTATCACGTGCTCTATTTATAGCTACGCATCCACTTATCACGTGTAAGTCTTTAATAAGATCATTGCACTTGGTCGTGTACTTGATGCATAGACTTAATATGATAGAAACTACAACAGTCAGCCAAAAACCATCAGAAAATTTCCTAATGTACTAATTATTCTTCAGTTGGAGGATTAGTCTGCTGGTCTGAACAGTTGTCTCACTATTAGATTCCCATCCTACCCTAGATAAATCATCCATAAGATCACCACATTCCTAGAGCTAGCAGCTATTGATGCAATATTCCCACTAACAACCAAAATATTTTAGAGAATTTTGGAAAAGAGCAGTCTTTTTGGTTTATCTGAGAAATTGATTAGCAGTCCTTTTGAGTGATTAACCAACAATGTCTCTGATCAGTGGCAAAAGGTAGCCTGCTAAACTGTTGGACACCTAAAACAGCATGAATCTAGAGCATCTTACCCAATGCACAATGCCAATAGGTGAAAAAATTGAAGCTGGAAACACTAATTAACAGCTTAAAACTTTCCATGTCCTGATCCATGAACTATGACTCACTTAGAGAAAATTTCTTTACATGTTGATGTCGAAAAGCTTTAAGTGTCTTAATTCTTTGATTCTTTTTTAAGTTGCATAGTCTGGTTATATAACATATGGCATTACTGGAGCTTTGTTATATGCCAATCATGAAATTTGTAAAAGTTACTTAAAGCTCAAGATGATTCTGATCATTAAGATAAAAGTGAAGGCACATAAAATAGTTCAAAACATTTCTTAGCCCTTCAATGTATCAGGTCAATTAGTCGCAATAAGTTACCTCTAAAATTATGTAGAGCCAAACATATGCCCAAAATGACCAGAACAGCTCGACTAGCCAAACTCCTATATCTGATATCTTTTTCAAAGTACCTGCTTTTGGGACTACCACACAAACAGCATGGATAGGAAATAGATCAAATGCAGCAGAACCAACAAGTGTGCCTGGCCCTAAACCTGCATATCAAATTATAAGGCCTGAGTTCACTATCACAAATTTATCCAAGTGGTAACTATTGAAACCTTCAGGATAATTGGCCAGATAAGAAGATAAACTTGAAAGTTTAAAACAAAGAACATACAAATGATGAAGAGCATACTCTGGCGACACAGTATTCTTGATAGATAATTGATTTAGTTATTAGCAGTAGATTGAGACAAGTTGAGCCACATAATATTTATTCCCTAGCCTAGCAGGTTCGCTTTAATGCAGACATTAAAGGCATATAAAGAAACCTGAAATGGGAATGGATTATGATACGCTTGAAATAGAAGGCATCAACCTAAAACTTAAAATAACACCAATGTGTAATTACCCAATTACACTACAAGCCCAACAATTAGTATCAAGCTAACTTTGCTGCATTTCTCACCCAATGCATTGTTAATGGGCCACTCGGTACAAGCCTGACCATCTTTTTCATGACCGAGACCATGTCATAATCACTGTAATTACCTGATCTAAACAAATGTACACAGCCATAATCCTCCTCTTGAACTCCAATGCGACTTAATCAGTTAAAACCTTACCATAAGTTATAATAATCCATATACATAATAAGTCCAGCCTTCCTTTCCTGATGTAGCACTATTGGTTTGTCACACCATGGACTGAGTTTAAAAGATTATTAGCATTAATGAGGTAAAGACAATTACAATTGGTCATACTTACAATGATAACTATCCATAGTGCAAAATAGGCGAGTCAAGTTAACTTTAGTGCAGAAGACTACAAGGGTGTTATAGCTGCAGAAGAGTTCAAGACCAAGTGTAGAGAACAGACCACAACCACATATATGGAGCAACTAATAGATTTAGGAATTTTCATATTTAATTCAATGTCATCATCTAGTATATGGAAACCTAAGCATCAGATAACTCCAACATAGATCTTGCTTTAAACTGGTGCAGCTTTGGAATCCTTAAAATTTCAAGCTATGGTCAATAGAAATCAGCCTCTAAAGTCTACTTACTAATCTCAAGCTTTATTACCTCGAAGCAACCAAGAAGGTTGTAAAAGCAGTTGGCTCTTACCAACAGCTTTTCCCCATTCATGTTGTGTCCAGCATCCACTATAGGGCATCATATAAGAAAAGAAGACATTATGGAAGATTTGCCAGGAAATTAAAGTTGACTGTCAACTTAACTTGCACACTAAGCTGGTTAAAATTTCTAACCAACCCCAAATTTGAAGAAAAAAGCACTGCAGAAGACCTAAAAAATACATGGAAAATAAATTTAGCAATATACTATGCATTTCAATCCCAGACATCCATGAAGCAACCTTTCTAAATTCCTTTGAGACATAAAATAATCTGGAAGAGGGAAACAACAAGCTCGCATGAATAGCAATATTTACATCAAATACAAATTCATAGAAAGCACAACCTCTCGAAGATTGGTAGATAAAGGAAAAAGAAAAAATAAAAGAAGGGAAAAGGCAAGAATCTTAACAGTCCAATGGATGAATGAACATCTTCATAAATAAAGAAAATGCATATCCCCCACAAAATAGACTTTTCTTTTTGCAAGAAATATATCTGTTGAACCAACTATGATGCTTCCCATGTACATTTGTAGATATTGAAAGAGAAAAATCCTTTTACTTGTGCAATATGTATGTGCTAGTTGGAGGAACAAAAAAAAACTCATGACAGGTCTACTTTGAAAGCCTAGAACAGTGGTGATATTATCTGCTAGACTCATGATTTCTTCATAGCATGAGACATATTAGAGGCAAAAGAATTTCGGAGAAGAAGTGAATGACCGTACCAAATTTTAATTAAGCATTTGTTGTGCAGTGATAAACTAAAGTTAGATTGTAACTACAAACTAATAATTTAATGTATATTCAAACAGTTAGCTAGTATAGATCATACCTCCAGCATTCAACTGACCAATATTTTGGATTGAATCGATTATTGCTAAAGAGATCTGCGGAAAGCTTGTTCCAAATGCCAATAAAGTGATGTCTGCTATAGTGTAATTCCAAACTTTTTCATACTTAATCAACTCAGTGCCTGTTAAAGGATCTATTTCCACAATCTGACGTGTATGCTTAACAATATTCTCCATCGATTTGAAAAAACGAGCAGTTATAGATGACAACCCAATGAAGCAGTAGGCAAGAGCGACAAAATACAAGAATGCTCGTATTCCATTTGAAAGTGAAGTTTCAGCATGGAAAACAATGTAGCTTTCACATCTTTCATGAGATGAGGTATTAAGAAAACCCAGGTTCCCTGCCACATTCATGTTTCAATAATCTCCCTTTGCAGCTTCAACCGACCTGAATTTTAAATATTAGAAAGCATAAATCAATAAGTAGCTCTTTAAGAATCTAAAGATAATAAAAAAAGAGAATACATCATCCAAAACATGCCTTTGTAATAGTGGAACTACACTAAAGAATCATTAAGCAGCAACTTCCACAATAACCAACAACAAGGATTGTTGTGCTAGTCAGCATGTGTCGTTCCAAAAACAGCGATGGTATGTGCGGCACCATGGTCATGCCGATGGTGATGACATGTCGACATGCCAAAACAATATCAGCATGTCACATGACCAACTTAACAAAGAAACAGGGCATCTGCATTTACTGAGACTAAAAAGAGTAAACAAGAAAAGCCAGAGGACACAATGAAAAGCCCATCTAAAAAACAACAGGTGAGATCACAAACTGATGACAGCCTAAGAATGACGATGACTGAACACATGAATCATGTGTTCATAAACAAGGCTCCAGGCTAGTTGCCAACTCCTGGGAAGTGCACGACGCACTCACCATATGAGTTGAGGCTAAACTAAGATCTGTTGATGGTTATCAACTTCCTAGAGTGTATTTGTTATACTCTTTTCATGATCAAATTTAGGTGAATGTATTTTGCAAGATCTTAAAGCATAATTAAGCTTTCAAGATTGTGCAATTAATGGTCTCTCTTAAATCTCACTTTTCAGAAAATAAAATTATACCCTTCCAAAAAGTTGACTCTAGCAAGCACCAAGGAAAAACCATAACTTAATTTTTCCTATTAAAAATTGCATGATGATTCCCTAAATTATCTTAATCAGAATAAGCATTCTAACCTATAAATATGAAGACCTCAAGACATACATAAGATGCTATGCCAAAGAAATCATAACCATTTGTATGTAATTTTGGCTAAATTATTTTGTTCCCCAATTAAATATGAAACTTTCATAGTACAAAGCTACATGCAGAATTGCTTCCCAGAGATAACAGTAAAGAAAAGTATTATATGGAAATGTAAAGAAATCATAATACTGTGCATGTTTGAGAAAATCAGAAAACATTAACATAAAGATCTGAAAACTGCACCCCTATGAAAAGATTTGATGTATTTTTTAACCTCCAATATGTTGAGGGAACAGTTGTGTGCCCAAGGATCAAGTGTTATCGCAGAACAAGGATTCCCATATTTCCATGTAGCTTATCCTTTTTCATAATCACAATGATCGTGACAATGGTAGAAACAATTTTAACTAGGGTTTGTTTCTATCATGCAAAGGGATTTATTTATCTTTTGATCCTTCAACCTTCCATCTGTTTAACTGGAAGTTCAAGATCCACCAAAAAAGTACCGCTGGTACTGCTCATCCCAATAGCTTCGCGAGCAATCATGAGATTCGCAAGTCTCCTCCAAATCCAAGTGAAAGTGAGGGAAAAGAAAGAAGAATCATTTTTTTTTCTTTCTTTTTTCTCGGAATTTAAAAAGCAAGAGAACATGCTAACTCAAATGATCCGGGACTGCTCGCACCAAATTCCAATGAAACGACGTGCTAGTTCTTTAGATCGCTATCACCAATCTTTGATTTAGCTTAAATTTCATTCGCAAAGAATTTCCCATTTCTTTATCCCACAGTAATTGACATTCATGATGTCAACAATTCTCGGAAAAAATCAAACGCAAACTCAACCAAGAAAACCCGTAAAATTAATAGCAGAACAGGAATCTATACTCCTCACATTCGACCATCTCATCTTGGACGTGGGCACGACAAAGAATAAATGGCAAGGAAAGCGCAGAGGAGTCGTCCCCAAAATTAAGCAAACAACAAGAAAAACAAGTTGGAAATCAAAACAAAGAAGAGCGGGGAGGGTAGGTTCACCGCTTCACGGGCCGGATCCCGGAGAGGGTCGTCTTCGAGGGATCCCGGCGTGGAAATCCAACGGGATCTCCGGCGATACACGTGGGCGTGAGACGGTGGATGACGGGGCAGGAGGACGTGCTGCATGCGATATTAGAAGAGAAGGTTTCCTGTAAAGGGTCGTTTTCCAAATTTCCACACGAGCACGGGAAAATTGCCAATGGATCTCCTCCCACCCTGCCGACCGCTGCAACCCTCCAATCCCCTCATCTCAACCGTCCACCACCGGACCACGAGAACCAACTGGTGTGGGGGCATCGTATGAAAAGGAGAAAAAGTAGGACCCACCGACGACCACTGGCCTGATGCTGGGGGCTTCCACGGCCCACTTTTCGTTACCCGCACAGGATGTGGTGGCAAACCGAGGGGAACGACGGGTTGCGGTGTCGGGTTTCGTGGGTGCGAAAAGGATTTCTCGGTCATTTTTGGAAAGTTGAAATATGTTTTCTATACCACACGAAACATACCAAACTTACGCGATGGCAGTTCCCACGAGCGGGCCCCGCGGTGGGACCACGCCACTCTCTCCACCGCCAAAAAGAGGGAAAGAGAAAACAAGGCCCCGCCGTCATGAGTCCCCCGTCGGACGTCGTGGGTGATGCCACGTCCCTCCCGTTCCATGTGTCGGCTTCTGTGGCAAAGCTTGAAGCGGCAACCTGGAAGAAATAAGTACACGTATGAACCAATCGCAAAATCCAGCTCGAACCAATTATTGGGAAGCAGCGCGAGTCATATAAAACTTGACACCACTAGTTTAATTTAATAGGAGGAGGGACAAAGAGAGAAAGCGACCGGAAGAGATCTGAATCCCTCATTTGCGTTCATGGACTAAGAAATGGAAGGAGGTAGGAAATGGTCGTCCACCGTGGACCACATGCTAAAATGTTTCTGCTTCACTCGTCTCCTTGGATTCTTGTGTGCAGCAGCTTTAGAGGGGATCAAGAAATGGTGTGGTCACAGGTATCAACAAATGGCCAAGCACATCCGAGCTACTCGTCAAGTGGATCCCATTGAAAGTTACTGATTACTTTTTTTATAAAAAAAATCATTATATCCGAGATGGCGGTTCATCCGTAGGCTGTATGTAACCAAAGACCAATTAGCAATAATAGGTTGAACAAATTCAGATGTCTTAATAAAAAAAAAATGATTTATTTTAATAAGATCCATGGACATGGGATGATTTAAGATCACCATCCTACATCCGATGGCAAAATTCAAGCGTCATGACACAACATGTGCAGACATGAAATTACAGTTTACTTGATTAAAAAAAGTATGCGTCCTTTTATTTTATGCAAGATAAAATTACAGTTTCCACGTGGTTGTTGAACATGGATGGGTGGATCACCCAACCACCCCAATTAATAATGGCGGTATCCCCGCATTAAAATATTTGGGACCCGTGATGCATGTGGCCGCCTACGTTTTCCGCATGTTTGCTGCTCTCTTACTCTTCATCATCGTCACCACCGTTCATGCTAAAGCTTGGATGATCATTGAACACCGTCCGAGTTGAAACCTAATCGGACAAATGTGTTTATGTTGCAGCTTTTGTCGAACGTGGAGAGGCAACTATTGACTTGTCATCGTGAGTGATCATCCTACGGTGGTAATGCCATTCTCTTCTGTCATCCGACTCGGTCTTAGTGATGGATATCGTGAGCGGTGATACATCTCACATAAATGGTGGGAAATTGCCCGAGGAATGGATTAGGTTCCTCTTGTACATTATAATTTTGGGAACGGTGGTTGCTACATGTCTATCATTGCAACGTTTGGAAACAACCTATTTCTCGCATTCACTTGCATCTGTGTCCCTTGAAAATATTAAGAAGCCCATCTTCTGACGATCGAATATATATATATATATATATATATATATATATATATATATATATATATATATGGATGATCATCAGATACTTCTGGCATATAAATATAAACAGATCATCTTAATGTCAATTTGATAATTACAGAGTCTCTGTCTCTGGACTTCTCTTTCACCCTTCATCTCTATTATTTGGCACACAACCAACGACTGCTCTCTCTTTCGAAGCTATGATCGCCGTTGGCTCGAATATTGATCAGGATTTTGATCCAATGTATGTTTGGTATAAGGGCTAGCAACTTATAAAATTCTCTCTCTCTCTTTTTTTTTTAGTTTCAAAAAGTTTTATTAACTTTTTGTGAGATCCAAATAACCACATCACTTGTTGTGAAATCCAATACTTGGTTGACCTTAATGTACAGACGACGGGTCCACACTTAATTGCTTTATCATTGTTCATATATTTAGTATATATAACGTATGTGTGCTTATAATGGCATCACTCTTTTGCCTTCAACTGTTGCAATGAAAATAATTACTACATGTTCCATAAGGTGATGAACTTTTGTCAGACTCCTTTTCATACAAGGAAATTGAAAACGGAATACTATGGGAAGTGGAGGGAAAGGTCAGTATTTAGCTATCATATCTCATCTATCGATCTCTTGTATATGATAACAATATTTTTGTGTTTTTTTTTTTGTTATTGTAGCACACACCTCACATGTCCCATAATACAGTATTGTCATTCATACTCTTCAAATTTCTCGACTTCTTGTGGCATTAATCCTGAAACTTTTTTTTTTTTTTTCTTTGCTTATCGAAAATGGGTCGTTAAAGGAGCTATAGATAGACGTAGATATTGGTGCTAATCCTTCTCAAGAAGGCGGCGAAGAAGATGAAGGGTTTGATGATACTGCTGTCAAAGTGGTTGATATTGTTGACACCTTCAGGCTCCAGGTTATTATTATATCCAAGTCAACGTGTTTCAACCTATTAACCAGGGATTACATGTGAAGTTAAATTAACAAAATGCTTTCTGTAATATCATGTAATCAACAGGAACAACCTTCTTTTGACAAGAAGCAATTTGTGACGTATATTAAGCGTTATATCAAGTTGTTGACACCTAAATTGGAATGGGAGAAGCAGGAGTTATTTAAGAAGCACATTGAGCAATCTACCAAGTTTTTGCTCTCAAAGCTCAGTGACCTACAATTGTAAGGATGACTTATTCATGAAACATTATTTGTCCTTGCCTTTTCCTCACTGTTTATTTTATTTTATTTTATTTTCAATATTTCTTTAGGGTTTGTGTTTGTTAGTCTTGAATCAAGTGATTTTGCATCCATGCCCTTTAATGACTTTGTTACTTCAACCTGCATAGTAGAGTAGCAATCCCTTTTCGCCTATATTTATATTGTGGTATCATCAATGCCTCAAATATTAGACTCACCTAATTAGCAATACCGTAATATTTTTGACAGATTTGTTGGTGAAAGCATGCATGATGATGGTAGTATGGTCTTTGCCTATTACAAGGAGGGTGCTGCTGATCCAACATTTCTGTACTTTGCCTAGGGTCTGAAGGAAGTGAAGTGCTGAGGGTGACAACATCACAGGCTTGAAGAAAATTATGATCTATTTGAACTAATCTGCTTCCCAATGGCCTTTAAGAGTTTCGTCCATGGTTGAAACTTCCAATGCCTGTTTGGGAGTTTCTGGGTGTTTTTTTTTTTTAATGAGCATTTAACTTAAATGAGAAGTGAATTTTTAGTTTTGCCTGCCAACCAGAGATGTTGCTTGATTTAATATTGCGTGAACTTTTAGCACAGTATATAGGATTTTGTTAACATCATCACTCCAGCGGCACAGTGAGATATAACCCGAGTGTGTGGAGTTCTACCTGTCTAAATGTACAAGTTTGAGCTTCTATTGAGGTACGTTAGATGGCTGCAGCAGCAGCAGCAGCATAACCATCCATGGTTAGTAACTCCTGTCTGATGGGGGAGATGACAGACTCTCCCAAACTACATGATTGGCTTCAAACATCACCAAATCTGACTGAAGAAATAGAACCACAAAAGTACAGTGATACGTGTGCAAGAAATAAATAGCCATCCCCAAAAATCCTTCATGTAGGAAAATGTAATTATTTCCTTACAAGAAGCCATTCCAAGCAAAATGAGAATGCTGATTGCAAAAGAAAGCAAATATTCCAAGCATTATTTGCAAATAATGCATTAAGCACACTAAACTAAAATTAATAGATCATCCAGACAACCGACACAGATGGTTCAGGCAGAAAAACAATCTGCACCCTGCAAATAGTGCTTATTACACTTTCAGAAATCAAGTCATGTAGTTGGAAGTTCTACTTTCAATCCATAGCTTAAGAATTTTTTGCTACAATGTGAAATGGGACAGCCAAACATGTGTTCAATCTCTGCAACGATTGAGATAAGTTAGTGCTTTGGCTTAGGCTTTTTCACTATCATCACGGTGCAATGCGCATGGTGTGCACAGTAATCACTCACGCTACCCAAGACAGTCCTGCGGGAAGTATAAATGCAGTACAGATTAGTAGAGTTAAGAAATTGAAAATGAACAATGAACGCAATCATCTTGTTCTCTCACTTTTGCATATAAAGATAAAAGAACTGGATTTGGTCTGTCAAATTTGCACTTTCTTGCATATGTAATGTTAGTATGGGTCCAAACACTCTTAGAAACTTAAACCCTTACAATTAGGTACAAACAAAATTTTCTCCCTTCAGTGTCCAAGTTTTCTAATTATATGATATCATTCGAGTCCGTTACAAGCTAAAGCATGTTTAACAAATCATGGATGAACAACAAAGAAGAATCTTTGCTATTGAGTACTTATAGATTAAACAAGAGGCTGGCCATTTGAGATCATAAGGACTTAAGTATGGTCCTTTGTCTCACTATGGAAAAATCGTGTCTCTTCTTTGGCCAGAATAAACCTATGTTGGTCAGTTCTCGGTGATGCAAAGCCAGAATTGAACTTCCAACTTTCTCATACAAATCCAAACAAGTCGTCGACAATATCCCAACCAAGTTTTAATACCAAGCAATCAGTTTCCAGTGCTATCAAAAAGCAATGTGATGTTAGATAGTGTGACCTAAAAATCATTAAACGAAGTGATTTCTAAAATGAGCATCAGTGTGACAAGTGTGCAGTGAACTCTAGTCCACAATTTGCTATAGCCTCCTCCCCGAGTAATCTATGATCTCATTTCCCCACAAGGGACTAGACCCAAGCTTCACAACGTGTCTCCAAAACCTAATACAGTATAAAGTTCGATGTTGGTTTATCCAGACTAGGCTCTTCGCAACATGGGTCAAGATGATGTTAGTTCATCAATCACAGTGAGCTGTTTGACAGAAAAATGTAACGAGCATCTGACTGAGTTCTCGAACGATAAGTGTAGAAACTTGTTACCTTTTAATCGCTCCATATCCATGGCTTCCCACAACCAATATTTCTGCATGGTGTTTTTCCACAGCCTCGCAGAGAACATTTCTAGCATCTCCTTCAACCACTTCAAACTCAACGTCAGCCACCTGTACTTGAGAAAAAAAAAATCCATTAAACACAAGCATTCAATAGTAAACTGCTTCTGATGACTACAAAAATATAATAATCTTTTAGATCCTCTTAAGACTGCTGATATTCTCTGGTTGTCTGGATTACAACCCACAAAACCCTATCGGCACACTAGCTAAAGATCATCAATTTGCATTTGATAAACTTCTAATTATTTGCCACTCTACATCAGGTTGGGCCTTGTTGGACCAACAGAGAGAAAAGCACCATTAGATTATTTTAACACATCCAAAAGAATTATCTTCTTCCAAATGCTGAACTGACTATGCCCCAATATCTGCTAGCTACTTACTTGCATGATTCCCCAGTGAAGTAAGCAAGAACAATAAGAAAAATGGAATTATAATATAATGGAACAAGTTTTGATTAACCTGTTACAGAGTACATTCATATTGTATAGTAAAGCCCTGTAAATAAAATTATGCATTTGTTATGCCATTTGATATGCAAATTACATTCAGAGGCTATTTCTTATGCGTCAAATGAAAATTAAGAACAATGGTTTGGACACCCACAAAAGAAATCCAAAAGACGTATCCCACTCAGTGATGCAATAATCCAGGGATAATAACGTTATCGACGCTTAGATGTGAGATTGGCAACAGCAAAAGTTGGGATCATCAGGATTTTTCCTAGAAGAAGCAAAAGCAGTCACGATCGCCAAACCAGCAAACTTCAACAATGAAACAACCACTAATTCACCCAATACCAGGCAAGGGCCAGTCACGATCGCCAAAATTAGCTAATCCTAACGAAGAATCGAGGACCACGAAGTTACCGAATGGGAAGTGCAGATCTCCTTGGCTTTCTCGATCACCCGCAACGATATCTTCCTCAGATCCGACTCCACAAACGGTAGCACGTCAGCGGCTCCTGTGGTCGACAACACAAAGATAAAAGTAGTCAAATCTTAGGTTTGGGGGGGAGTGGGGAGGAAAAACCCAGAGCCGGCGAAGGAAAATTCCGATACCGGGACCGGCGAGGCCGATGACGGAGGTGGGCGTGGGCTTGGCGCTCACGACGACGAGCTTAAACGGCGAACTGGAACCGGCAGCGGGGGAGAAGAAGTGGAGCAGGGTCCATTGGAGCGCGTAGAAGCTGTGCTCGCTATCGTCGATCCCCACAACCATCACCGACTTCCCCACCACCGACGCCGTAGCCTCCGCCTCCGTAGCCATTTTGCACTCTTCTCGAAGGGACCGAAACTAACAGAACAGTGCGATGGGATCAATAGAGCGAGAGTAGTAGGAAGCAAACACTTGCTGCCAATGCTACTATCATTTGATTCTACCCCAAACGTACCCGTTTCGTGGTCGACAACAGTTGGCGAGTCCTTCTTGGCCGGACCTGAGAGCTCACTGCTTTCACCAATAAGGAGGCAGGTGGCACGTCGGAAGCGCGTAGATAAAATAATTATATCATTTATCATGGAGGACGGTAGAAGCGTAGAGAAGCGGTCGATCAAGCATCAATTAATGGAATCGATTGTACGTGTGGGTGATCGCTTGCAGGATTCCCTCCAACTCTTGATTTGATTCTTCGATTTGCAAATCCAAATCACGACCGTCAATTGAAAAAAGGGGGAAAACTAATGGATGGATGGTTGCGGCCCATCGACGAGCGGTCGCGATATGGTCGACGGCAAGATTGCGAGAATTGATGATGGGTTCTGATTCACGTACGGGTGGGAGGGGATGCTTACACCATGTGGGCGGTCACGTGTGATTCTGATTCCTGGGATGATCCAAATCATTATTAAGATTTATTAGTTTTACGGTATGGAAAAGATGTACATCATAAACTTGGGATCTGCTACGATGATTGGTGTAGGCATCCAACCATAAACCACCGAATTGAATCAAATCCACATCATTATTTGTGTTGGAAGGGAGGGGGGTATTGTGAAAGGGGATCGGGGGGGCACTTGATGAGGGTGCACCGACCACCCACACACTGCTACGATGGAGGGAGGATGCTTCGATTGGACTCTCAACGATTACTTACTGCGATACCAAAAAGCAGTGCTACTTTTATTTGATGTCAAAAGCTGTGCAATACATTATACAGCTTATCTGCTCACTCACTCCAGCGTTAGCAGATTGCACCAGAAAGTTTTGAGTATGAGCACAAGTACTGAAAACAGTCTTCTGTATGCATGAGTACGTCGATGGATGCAATTTGCAATGTAATAAGTTAATGGATGCTCTACTTTCAATCTTCAGTTTCATTAGTTATATAATAACGTGAGACTAATTATTTATTAGAGTATGAGATTAATTATATATTATCCTCTTATACTTAAATCTTATTAGCATTACTGTCGTCTCTCTACTTAAAAAAATTAGATCTTTATAGTTTTAAAAATAAAATAAAATGATATGCTGGATCGATACGAAAATGATGAGTAAAAAAATAATTTCAATGTTCCTTTCGTTTAAAAAATAATTTCAATGTTTCTTTCGCTTTCAACAACTTTACTAGCAAAACGATAATTTCAAAACTCTTTTCTCTCCTATCTTCTCTCTCCCTTCTCCCTTTTTCTTTCACACTTTTCCCTTCTTTCTCTTCCTCAACCCCCCACCCCCCACTTCTCTTTCATCTTTGACACACACAAACTGTTAACCACTTGCTACGTCTAAATTGGTGACGCTGTCAACTACAGACAACAGATAAGAGAACAAATTTACAGTGGCAAATGATAAAATAATTTTGGGAAGACTTCAGCAATCTGCATGTCTGGTACTTTGGTACACAATCAAATACCACAGATTTACAAAAAAAACACCATAGCAAAAACCCACTTTGCATTTCTATTGCCCATAATTTTATTTCTAATGTTGAAACAAATGTAATGTCTTCACATATAAAAAGCCTCAGACTTTTTACAGATTTACACATGCCATGCCACAGCTGGACAACCAGCTTATCTGCCTCATTACAGGTAATAAGGAAGACAAGATCGCCAGGGCATAGGCCACCATGAGACTGAATAAAGAGCTCAACTACATCTTGCTCCGAGATCACACGTAATGACCAAAAATGTCTGTATACATCAAACTAAAGCCCCATAACAAAGGTTGCATGAGTTGCTAAACATGCCCTGTTACACCTGCACGGACTCTAAGCATCTCGGTGCGCTTACTTCTTTCCATCACATCCACTAACCAGTCGATAGCAAATTTGATTCCCGTTCTGCATAATACTAACATATTTAATATTGCAGATATCAAACAGAATGATGTGACTAAATACTTTTCTTATGAAGATTAAGCTTCACTCGTAAGAGAGCAGATATCTTTTGTTGATAAAACATAAAGGAAATGCAATGAAGGGTAGCCGTCACCTATACAGTCATCACCTTGAGGTTGGACCATCCAGTGATGTCCACAATAAACTGAGCAATTTCCTATCAAACAGGCCATGATGTCTCAAAGCATTTTAGGATGTCAAGACCCATGGTTTCTATAGTATGCAGTACTACTCCCCACATCTTTTGTCAGCAGAATAGAAAGATCCAACCATGTTCTGAGAAACTTAATTTTTTATAGATTTTCTCTAGTTAGAGAAAATCTAGAAATGCAAGAGGACAGTGGCACATCTTGACACCTGGCTCAAAAATTAAATTTTCACCTGTTAGATGCATAGGTTTGGTGGTATGAAGTGGAATTGCCATGTCAGGCCACTGTGAGGATGGGAAAGTGGTGATGGAGACATTAAAGAAGAGGGATAGAAAAAATAATCCGTGAAGAATGAAGAAGAGGAAAAGGAAAGGAGAGAGAGGATATGACGATGACGGAGGCTGCAAAAGAAAGAAGAGGATTTGAGGCATGATGATAACTCAGAACCGCCAAACTGAATGGTTCGAATAGCCAAACTACATTCTTGAAGATTTGTACAGGTAAATTTGGCTTACTTAGTATTACATATTTATAGGTGACACAATCTGAAAGAAGCTTCCAGGCCTACACTTTAGAAAGTCCACTTAGCAAATCCTTTGAATCATTGGTAAACATTTTGTAATTGAAGATGCTAGGTAGTTTGGTTTGTACAGACTTTGTCAGATCTCCACTTGGTTGTAAGATCATAACCCGCCTCACTCATCCTTTGCAGAAAAAAAAAAAGAAAATTGCAATTGAAAGTTGAAACAGCTCCAAAGAAACAGCATTATGGTACTGGTTGCACACAGCCATACTATTCAATGTACAGAAAAAAAAGGATCACGTCCAAACAACTAACCCATTATATGCAGATACAGCTTCAATCATGTAGAGCCTTTCATTTAACTCTTTCAAATCCAAATACCTTGCTAGTTCTTCAGTCGAAACAGCTCCAGGAAGATCCTGTTCAACTAGCAGTCAGCAAAATCCTAGTGTATCATTCGCATGGAAACAAAAGGAAGAAGTTAAGTCAAGGTCAAAATAACTAATCATGTGACAATTTTATTTCAGTTTCTCAAGAATTTGTGAAGTATACATACATACATATATAGGACACTTCGTTAAACCTACACCGAGCCATAGCACCTTTTCTATTCAAAAGTAAGCACAAACTTTATCAACTTTCAGTTTATTGAATAAAAAATAAGACAAAAAGACATGACATGAACCTATGGACAAAATAAATGTGCCAATGATCTGAATTTGCCATATAAAAGCAGTGTGAAACTCAAAAACAAAGTACTTTATCAATAATATGCCTGTATCAACTCAGGGAATTTAAAATAAAATAAAAATAAATTGATATGAAATATTATTAAAATATAATATTAGTACTGAAATCAACATTAAGCAACCTGCTTGTTTGCTAGTATCAGAAGTGGTGCCCCTTGCAAATCCTCATGTCTAAGTACTTTTCCTGTTCAGCAATTTCAAAATTCTAGTTAGGGATTGCTAAAACATAATAGTCTATTAACTTTGTCATAAACAATTTTCGTGACCAGAAAAATTAATTAAAAAATCATGATTTATCTTACAGGTCCATACTGGTGTACTGATCGATCGTCAGTACGATATGTACCGAGCCATATCGATGTACTGACCCACGATATGGTGAGGCATACCGACAAACTAGTATATACCGCCAATACCAATCCTCTGTTGGACCGGTATGTACAGATCGTATCGGGCGATACATTGAGGTACAACAAACCTTGCTAACAACTATCAAATGAAATTTATTTATTCATCAGACATGGACTTACCTAATGCAGATTTGGTATCTTCAAATGATGACGGACAACCAGCGTCTATAACATATACTATAGCATGTGCCTCCTCATAATATTTTTCCCAAATTGTACGTAGTCCGATCTGCCAGAACCAGTAAATACATTATCTTACAGTTTAGTTACTAAAAATTTCTGATAATTAATTTTCACATATAAAGCCTACAAATTTATTTATAAACCCATAGAGATAATTTTATACTCCCAAACAAAGAATAACAGTCAAACCTTCATGAAGATATTTTACATTCATTACTAGTTCAAAATAATAGAAAGAAAATATAATTTACCAAAAGTCTTTTGGGAGATGGCAGAAGGATTCAATTACAACTCATCCCACAAGAAATGTATCCTTCTAGTCAATTTCCACGTGGTCAAGTGCATCTGTAGTAAATAATCATTACTGTATATACATAACTTATTTTAAGCTAATGCAGAGTGAAATAGAGATTGGATTTCAAAATCTGGCAAAGTACAAGAAATACTGTGAACAATGTGTGATGCAGCTACAGCCATGAATCTATTTAAATTAGGATGTTTTGTTTCACTTACCTAGTCAAATTGCTCATTAACTTGGACTAAGAATAATCTATATCACAACTGACACATTTTCCGGGTTTATTAAATGTCATAATTTGCCATTAAATTATACAATTCCTAGATTTGCAAGCAAAGAACACACCTGACCTCCCAGGTCCCAGAAAACAAGTTTTGCATTTGAGGCCTCAACTCGACCAATATTGAGCCCAACTGTTGGAACTATTCGATCAGGAGGAAGCCCTTCCAGATTCGAATACAAGGACTTCAACTTCTCCAGCAAAGTCTACGATTAAGAAACAGAGTGTCAACTGAATAGTGATCTGTAGAATGCTTGTTAAGGAACAAGTTATTTGATACCACTGAGGGGTCCAGGTAACTATCAGTGCAGAAATTAAGTTTCTAGTTGGCAACGATTAAAACTTCACAAACTAAAAAAGCTTAACGAATTATATTTTTCTTTTCATAAAGCCCACTCAGATATGCTTGCAGTTTTATGAAACCAACCCAAATGAAAGCAAAAAGAAGGAACAGTTTTATGGACACAAGAACTCTCTGCATATAGACAACAAAACTCAAAGAAAATGGATTCCAACATAAAACATCCATATAACACCATAAGATGTCCACAAGTTTCTACGGAGTACAAAGGAAATGAATCAGATGACCGCTCGAAGACATCTTTACTGAAAAAAAGTAACACATGTACCATTCTCAAAAAAAATCCAAGTTAGAAGAAAAAGAATTACAGTCTTTCCCGCCTTGTCGACTCCAAGAATGAGAACATGGAATTCCGTCTTGCTGAACATATAATTCCAGAGTCCATAGAACAATGAGAACATTTTTATCGATCTTCTTCCCAAGAGCTATAGTCTGTGTTCAGGAGCAAATGAGGGGCTTCATGTCAATGAAAGCCGATGCTCTGCATTTTTGTGAATATCCTGCAAAAAGAACATGCAACGGAGATTAGGAAATAACCTCTTTGGATACAATTCAAAGAACAACGCATTTGTTTGATACAAGTGTATCAAGTATTTAGATTATTTTTGCCTTGTTGGGCTAGGATTTCCATCAGTCATTCATTTCTCGCCGTAACAGGAAAAAAGGTTTGGCGCCACAGTGAGGTAGCTCCTTCACGACAAATGTGGAAATAAACTCTTTTCTTGCAGGGAAGGACTGTGGTCAATGAGCCTCACTAGATCCCACATTGACGGGAATCTTGTGCACTGGGCCACTCATTTCTTGTCATAACGAACTTGATGATGTCGATAGTAATGATTCCCTAATAGGATTGTTGAAAGAGATAACCTAGTTCAGTCCTCACAAACCAATGGATACAAGACGACATGCATTCTTCTTCTGCACATGGATGGGCAAAACCATGTTCTTCGCACCGCCTCGTATCACTACCTATGAATCTGGAACACTGTTGTCGCATATACCACAGATTAAGTACGATTATTCTCAGCATAAGCCAAACTAAGGAGGAAACTCGGATTCCTCGACCTATGGCGGGATTTCGAGCTGACTTGCAGCAAAAATCGGTCGTCATCGTCCGATCTGGTCACCGGAGGCACAGGAAAAAGACGATGTAGAGAAGGATTCGATGATGCCGTCAAATCTTGATAGGATTTGATCAGATGCGGCCATTAAATGCCAAGAAGAAGAGAAAACAAACCCCCAAGGAAAGACTCCGCCACCGCAGCCTCAACTTCTAGCTCGATTCTCTTCTCCGACGCTGGTGGCCGTCCGTGTCGTCGCCGGATCTCGCTATAAGCCCCGGGCAGACGAAGGGTCGATGAGGTCAAAGAGAGAGGGAGAGACGAAGAAGGGGAGGGAGAAAAGGGAGGGATTAGGGACATGCGCACAAGAGTACCCGTAACTTGCTTCGCTACCCGAGTTCGTTACCCAATCGAGAAAACGACGAAACACGTTATAAACGATGAAAAAAAAATAGGGATAATTTATGTTTTTTTTTTAATTAAGGAGACCGTTCAAAAAGAAAAATTAAACGGCATCAATTAAAAAAATCCAAAATGAGAATGTTTTTTATAAAAAAAAAAACCCATGAAATAAAAATATCATGAGTTGTGTTTTAATACGAAAATAAAGAAAAAAATCTACAATATTATATATTTAAAAAATAATATCTGAATCAAGTATGAAATTAACCGATGATTATTCAGTTGTTCTTGGAATGATTTAATGCTAGGAGTGAGTAACTAATAACTGGGTTTAATACGCATACTAACTAATGCTTTTGGCTTCCTAATGAAGTTTATGGTGTATCCACTAGTCCTAACCTCGTATTTGGCTACTCTTACTCCTTGGAACCAATTTAATGATACGTGTGGTAAGTCCATCAGTAACTAACTTATGGGAATATATATATATATATATATATATATATATATATATATATATATATATATATATATATATATATATATATATATATATATATATATATATATATAT